TTACCTCTAGACGTAAGGCAGCAGGCTTCAAGTATGTTAAGGAGCAAAATAATGCAGTTTGATGAGACCAAAGTTGAGTAATTAGGTTATAATTCAGTTATGTGTGGCGAAAAACCCACTACCTACGAGGCGAGGAACACCATTCACAGTCAAACATGGTGGACGCTTGCTGATGTTGTGGGGGTGTATTTCTGGATCATGTACTGGAGCTCTGCATAAAGCTGAAGGAAGAATGAATGCAGCACAATATCAGCAGATTTTAAAGCAAAGCCTCCTGCCATCAGTCAAAGATCTAAAAATGAAGAGAGTGGGTCCTTCAACAGGACAATGATCCAAAACAGAGCAAAATCAACTCACGAACATTTTAAAAACAATAAGTGAATGATTTACCATGGCCTTCCCAGTCCCCAGACCTAAATATCATTGGAAACCTGTGGATCGAATTGAAGAGGGCTGTACATAGCAATCTGGTAGACTTGGAATAAGTATGTCATGAATGGGTTAAAATTACACCTGAGAGGATACAAACGCTGTTCACAGAGTACCCAAAGAGGTTGGAGGTGGTTACAGAGGACATACAAAATATTAAAGAGCAGTTCATAAGGGGAAATGCAAACTTTTACACTGATATGATTTTCATTATTTTACTTTAACTTTCTTTTTATAAACTGACCATTTTTGCTACTTCTGTTGATGAAGGAACATTTGTACTATCTGAATGTGCATTAAATATTATGTTGAGGAAAAAATTCTTTTACTCTTTTTGCCTTTTCAAAGTAAGGGGATGCAAATGTTTACACAACTGTAAAATGCAAACATGCAACACATTTTTTGGGGAATGCATAAGTGGGACATGAAAAAGACATTTACCATTTATCAATTATTGACAGTACATGTTTACATTCCTTTTCATTTACACAATTATATATGACTGACGCATAGTGGTGCACTGCCCAGTTCAATATTAGTAAATGCAATATTAAGAAAGGGTATACAATGTATTTACTGGACTATAGCATGGCAAATTACTCAGTGAACCGACTCATCTCCCTAAAACCTGTTTAAAAAAACTGAAACCTGAAATGCTGTGTTATAATAAGACTAGTCCACATTGTTTCTCCTTCCCTATGTTTATGGAATACCAAGTAAATTCTATTATCAGACCAGTTGTGTGGTGTGAATTATACATTGTTTAGAACACTGATTATCTGAAGTCTTCTAATTTGTGAGGATAGCTGTCAAACAGTCATACAATGGAATTGTACTACATTTTTATTCACAATTCATCCACTGTATTGCCCTCCTTCATGAGGATGCAATTCAGAATCTTGCACTATTCCTAAGGCTTTTAAAAATAATAAATATGGTGAGAGCCTATGGACAGATTGTCCAATACAGAGTCAAATGTCAGTGCAACATATGGAAGGAGGTTAAATAAGAGCTACTAGAGCCCTTTCAGGGCTTTGCTTATTGCATTCTTGCGATTAATATTGTTGATATGCAAAATAAAAACAAAATCAAATGAAAAGGACCAAAGCTGGGAAGTTAATACTTGCACTAAGAGGTAACGGTTACCTGTATAAACTTCAGCATTTCAACACATCTACTGTAGGATTCAAACTGACTTTCCACCCACATGTCCTTGGAAACCTGTGATGGTCTGAGCTTGTCTGCTGGTGGAGGTTGTCACCACAAACCTGCCACAGCAGTTCACCAAAAGTCACAAAACATGTCAAACAGTGAGTAGAAGGATACAAAAGAAAATAAAACTGTGATGGTGCTTCTATTCAGGAGGTTGCTTCATGTGCTCAGTCTTGGAGGGAGCTAAAAATAAACAATGAGGAATACTTGAAATCCTTTAACAGTTCTCACATATTTAAAAAGAGGGGTGTAACTGTAGTGAGGGATGACAGCAGTCAGTATTCATCCTGTTCCTCATGCTGATCATCTGTTGCCTCCTCATGGGCTTGCTGGTCCGTTTCCTGTCCATCACCCTCAGCCTCTGCTCTTTCCTAAAAAGGGACACAAACACTGAGCTGTTATCTCTTTCAACCACACAATAAACTTTCCTATGATTTTACCACTCCAGAAAATGTCACGTTTTACTGGTGCAAAAACTTATCCAAGTCAGGAACAAACTGTGTTGAACTCTGTTCAGATCGACAGTGGGTCACAGACTGACCTGTTCGTCTGAGGCGTAAAGGACCTCCATTAGTCGCTCGACAAATGGGGCATTTTCTTCGCCCTGTTCCTGGCACAACAGCTCCACCTCTCGCAGCTTGCTGAAGTAGTAGTCTCTCTCCTTTTCTACCCCTTCCAGTGCCAACTTTAGTGTGTTCACCTATAAAATTAAAATGATACAATTATTTTTAGCTTCAATATCAAATCCACTGTGCTGTGTGGACAGTTTGCAATAAACTGATGCGACCGACTGATCATTTCTAACATGTTGGAGGACTTGGTGACAAAGGTTCAGTTTAGATTTAACTGATGCAAGTTGTCTAAAGAGAGCAAACCAGTGAAGTGCTGAAACATTACGTGCTTAATTGATTACGGTCTGGCTCTAGCTCAATCACTGAGTTCCAATCCATTTTCCAAAGTTCAGTTTTCACAAGACAAACAGCAGAAAACACCCAACAGTTTAAATAAATGAGTTAATAGTTGTTGCTGATAACCTGTTATAGAACTTTAAAGATGCTACAAGTGTGGAAAGCTCATACCACTGCTTAATATATGGAGCATTTAAAGTATGTTTGTGCAGATTCTCAGTCATCCAGGTCATAGTAAGCTGAAAAAACTGCAAGTGACAGAACTGATGAAGCCTCTTGGATGAGAGGTGAAACGTCTTCGACCAAGAAATCTAGTCCAGTCGATTTTTTTCTAAGTTTTTTCAGCATTTAAGGTAGATTTACATTCATATCAAGATCAAACGTCAATGATCCCATAACAAAGCCAAGCTGTACATTGCATTTTACGCTAGCTCTGTATATGCAGCACAGAAGTAACAGGCCTTTTTTGCAACCATGTCAGCCAACACTCATTCTGGGGCTAGGGATCACAGTTATATACATAATGCATTTCTTGGTCTGTGTAAAGATGTGCGAGCTGAATTCAGCAAGAGGGAGTGACGCTCAGCTGCACTCCTCCAGTCTCGTCTCTCAAAGCACACTACCCTCTAATCTAATACTGCTCAGTGGTAATTGCTGTGGTTCAATCATGACCACAAACTGTGGTGGAAGGAGGCATGTAAGTAACATGGAGAAAAGACTGATTGTTGAGTTCACAAAGGTAATAAAACTAGATCCTTTCCTGTCTGACTACAACAACGGATAAACATGGACATACCTGTTCAGTAAGATGTGTGACCTGCGCTTCCAGTTCTTTCTCTCCTTTGGCAGGAGTTGTTGTAGTTGCAAGGATCTTTTTGGCCGACGAGGGTCTGGATGTCGGTGTTGAGGGTTTAGGGGTTGTAGAGGCTGACCTTGATGCTCCTGCAGCAAATTAAAAAAAAAAAGTTTCTCATTAAGGGATGGGTGAGTACTTGGCACAATTTCTGAATTCATTCTTGACTGACAAGTGGAGGTTACTAGGATTTAAATCTAATAATCACACAAATTGTTGAAATTAAACAACTGGTCCCACCTTAACATATACATTAATGTTAAGATGTTGGTGTTTCAGAACATAAAACCACAAACTTTAAGACATTATAATAAATAAACAAATTAAAAGAACCAAAACCCGGTAACCTTCACTTTTTATGCAACAGGTGAACCTCACCTGCAGTAGGGGAGCTGGCTGCATGGTGGGACTTCTTTGGCAAGTTGAAGATCTGCTCACCGGGATCAGGTGGGGGAATAGCATCCTGGCCCTGCCTGGCTGCAACCGGGTCATACTCTTTACCATCGTAATTAGCGTCAAAGAACTTCTTAAACCACTGGATGAAATCAAGATTATCCTGAAATCTGCCTTTAACCAGTTTCTCCACAGGAATAATCTGAATCGAGGAGTTAAAAGGGTCAAAAGTAGATAAATATAAATTCAACCACATGACAAAGTGTTGAACAATCAGTTATAAAACGTTTATTTCTGACAAATAAATTGTGTTATGAAACTCACCTTGTCCACATTCATCCTTTTGAAGGATGCCTGTAACAGTTTGAAATTGTGAATGTACTCATGCTCCAGTTTAGCTTGAAACTTGACCTTCTTAAGACTGATACAACCAGGGAAGAGCAGATCCATGAACTGGCAATAGGCAGCTCCTAAAGACATGATAAAATGTCACTTGACTGTACAAACCCTTGCTGTAAAATAAAGAAAATTGACTCCAGCTATAGGCTAGGATTCAAGATGTCTGCCTGCCTAAGTTAAACAAAAACCTCCTAGAATAACAAAAAGTATGGAAGCTTTGTCTGTGTCCAGATCAATGACCTGGTTTCCTTAAAAAGAAAATTTTTAAATGCATGCTCTTGGTATCATGGTTATTATTAACTGAGGCCCAGTTAAAAGTTTATTCATCTGAAAAACAGGGCAAGTGGAAGCCATCAGATAAAACTAATAAATCCATCTAGAAAGCACACAAGAAATAATCTATACTAAACAGGAGCCTTCACCTGCACCTGTGTAAGTGTGTAAATCTGTCAGTCAGAGTGTGATTGAAATTGGATTACTTGGTCACAGCAGAACCTGACGGGCTTCGAGTTTATTTATAGACAAATCCCAGGGAGAGGAGAGCATGTTTCCACAAATTGCTTTAACTGCCAGCATATATAGAAAATTATCTGAGCCCAGCATAATCTCTAAAACAGGCTTCCAATCTCAAAGAGCCCCTCTGACACATGCAATACAAAGAGGAGGAGGATAAGATGAAGTTTTTCATTCCCTTCTCACCTGAGGAGAGCTGCTCCACTTTTGTATAGTTTAGGCAGAGAATATCATTAACCCAGGCAGTGATGTCATGCCTGCTCATAGTCTCCTGGGTTATTGAGGTAGAATATACGTTGACCGCCATGCCCCAACTGCAACAAAAACAAAAAGCAATGTATCTAGAAAACATGTTATTTCCTCACCTCAGGTTAGTGTGTTTAACCAAAAAAGGTGATCAAGGATTCAAATAAATCCTCAGGATTTGCTGTGTGTATAACCATAACACAAGACATAAAGGAGTTGGAAAAAGTAAATACATCCATACACACTGTATTTATTCAAAGGACTGACTGGGGCAGTTAGGCTAAATGTAACAACAGCGGCTACCTTACGATTTTTACTCGAAACAACTTATAAATCAGGTCAAATTCTGTAATCACCTAAATAAAGGATTGATTTTCTTTGACACTAGAAACAACACAGCAAGACTGGATCATGCTGTGATCTTTAGCATTTAGCAAACTTGGCCAGGCTGACCCAGAAAGAAGCCCAGCTTCTAAAAACACGTAACCCTTGACTCCAGCACGTGACCAGTGCTGGTACCCACACCTTGTGAACATAGCCAAATCTTCTTCGATTGCGCCCAGAATACAGTACACCCCCGTCACAGGTTATTAGGCAAACAGTGACCTAATGTAGCTGAGTCTCCAATAAGAATTAAAAATAAGGCTGGATCTATAGACATAAATTTATAAGGTGTTGTCTTCAAATATCTCTTGCCTGGCCAACAGAGCAAAGCCTAAAGCAATTAACTTCATTACTCAAATATTCACCTTTGAAAACGAAAAACCAGAGACTTTTGGCTGCAGCTCTTTTAGATTTTCATTACATTCAAGTCGTGTTTTGTCTCCAGCTGTTTTTCAAAACAGATTTAATTAAAGCATCTCTACACTTCATAAATCGTTGTCACTTAAGGAGCACACAATATACAGAGCATGGTGATATTACTTAATTGTATATCAATATCATGGTTGTAGCAGATTAGTATTTGTCTCTGGGACCCTTCAATTTATTTATTTTGTTTCCTGCATGGTGAATAAAAGCTGTTGCAATGTCTGATTAGAAAGATGGTACATAAAATATACATCAGTGAACTTTAATCCTTGAACAACAGACTAACCACTTGCACAGACCAACAAAGCAACAATGCTTACAATTTCATTTGTAACCTGACTGACCCTTCTAATGTTTATCTCTTAGCAATAGAGACATTAAAAGGGTCAGTCATTCACAGCTGGCTTTACCTGAGCACTAGCCTTGTCTCCCAAGCATAATTTGGCCAAATTCTTTTTTTAAACCCATTTTCACCACTTACAAAACATATCATCACCTTCATAAAGAAAGAGAGAATTCATTGCAGGACTGTTGTATTAGACTGCAGGTTTAAATTAAGCAAGGTCTACTTAAAACTGTTATCTGGGTGCACAATAATGTACTAGGGATGGATGTAATGGAAATATCCATTAAACTAGTGCGTAGTCTAACTCTGCTCTACAAAAATGAAGGCTGCTTCATGACCATTTCAGCTTCCTTCACTGATAACGAACAGCAGCATTATAACACCACTCTTATTGAATTGTGGCAGCGATTACAATGGTATTAAATCATGCTAAATCATCATGGTCGTCACTATCCGCTAGCAGACACCAGGGTAGGCGGAATAATGACAACCCATCATCATTAAAGTTGGGCTATCGCAGCACTGCAGGAGCAGAGCCTCGGTTGACCGATTCTTTGGGAATGAAGGAAGGAAACGGGGCCAGCCGAGCTCATGTCAACAAAGCGGATGTGTGCTGCTAGCATGCTTTGTTAGCCGGACAGGGATAGCCACCCAGCGAACACCAAGGCTGGGCTGACGCCTGGATTCGAGCAGGAGGGAGGTGGGCTTACGTAGCAGATAATGAGGATTTATACACATTAAAGCATCACCCAAATGGCATATTAATCGTGATACTAATGACTATTAGGTGGTTGCAAAGAGTCATATCATGATGGGAATATTCTAGTAGCAGCAGGGGCGTCTGCCTGCGTGCTGTCACTTGACAAGCTGCACCGTTTCAGCCCACTCCTCCGAATTTTTCCTGCGCCCTTGCGCACCAATACTAGACAATATTATACTGCTACCAGCAATAATTTTGGGAGCTGTATACCAGCAGAATGAAGGTTTATTCAACTAACTCGAGAGCAATTTATTGTCTAGTCTCGAAGCGAACATGAGGGGAAAAATAGGTGCGAAGCAAAACAGACAGACGTCAATGGGGGAGGCCAGAAGGAAGCTCTATGTCTGCAGCAATGCCCGTATTTTTATGATCTTTTTTTTTTTCTTGCACGAAATCAAATGCGACATTACACTGTTTTACCTGTAGGCGCGCTCTCCCCGCACTGTATTTTTCCTGTAAGGAATGATGTTGGTTCCGTTGTCCGGGACGATGTCGTTGTTATTCTCTCCATTTGGGGAAAGGGCTTGGGTGGGACCGGGCATTTGGGTCTCCAAAATGTTGAACAGATACTCTGTTCTCTCTCTGGTCGGGAAAAAAACAACAGGAACGATGCAAAGGCTCAGAAAGTACCGCACCTCCTGGGCTCTTTCTCTCTGCTTATTCTCCACAAATCTCTGCCCTAATGACGTCGCTGCACCCTGCACCACGTGACCGCCGGGGTTGGCTGCCTGTTCTTTATAGTGGCCTATTCCAGGACGCACAATTACATTAATCACGTGTGCTAAAAACCAGCATCATTAACGTCAATGCATGATGCTTAACGCTTGTCACTTTTGAGCTGCAGATCAACTTTGCCCCACTCAAATACTCAAACACCAAAATCAACTGAAGAATATGAATTTGATTAAAAGGAAAATGCGGCCCACCCAGTGTCACCTTCAAAATCTTCCATGACAGTCATCAGATATTTGTTTGGCACGATCTCGGGAAATAAATGTGCTGCTGATGGAAATGAATACCACACATGGTATGTAGTAAAATGCTGTTTTGATTACAAACCACTATCCTTTAAGTCCTCATTTATTTTAAAGCATACATCATTTAATAAGTGGGTTATTACACATTATAATGTAGTTATAAGCAGGGCTGAAACTAACTTTTTTCATCAGTTATTTTGTTTGACTAATGGTTTAGTCTATACAGTGTCAAAGTAGAAAGAAATAACAGTCCCAACTTCACAGAATCCAAGGTGACATTTTCAAATGTCTTGCTTTGTCTGACCTTAAGTCCATCTACCATTATATTAATCATACATGACAAAAACAAGCAGCAAATCCTGCCATACTGAAGCAGTTAAAGTATCTCAATAAAAACCAATTCAACTGCTGTCCTGTAAGTCTATGTGCATGTTTTAGGCTTACAACTAGTACTGCAGTGATTAATTAAGCAACAATTCTGATAATCAGTAAGCAGTTTAAGTCATTTTTAAAGCAGGATTCCACTGATTCCAGCTTTTCAAATGAGAATATTTTCTGACTTTGAGCCTGTTATGATATATGACTGCAAACCCTAAAGACATGCAGTCATTAACATGTTATAGCTCAAATGACTAATCAATTTATTTAAAACAATAATCAGACTAATGGATGACAAAATAACAAATGTTTCCCTTTGATCACGCTTCCAATTATTTTCTCATCATATGTCAGCAAATACCAAATATAGTCCAGAGCCCATTCTATCTATAGGAGCCACTTAATTTTTGGCATTCTTGTTTGATAAATAGCCTAACTTCAATGATGAGTTAATTATGAGAATGGTGGCAAATTAATTTTCTGTCAACCAACAAACTGATTAATCATCTAATCATTCAGCTCTACAATGTGCATACATTTGCAAATATCCAAAAATTCAATTCACATGGTATTGAGTTTACACTCGAAACATCACAGCCATGTGGCCGCTAAGCTATCTCTTCTTCTGTCCCTCTAATTGCAGTGCCAGTAATTAATTGTTCTTACATAATTATGAGTAATATTTACAGTAGATCTGTACAGTGCCGCCTTTAAAGAGACCTCAAGGATGTGAAATAACTCTTGGTCAACAATCTGTGTGCTTACTTTAAACTAACTAAAACTCTAGTGCCATCATCAGGCCAAAGTTGAGGTTACTTTTTGGTCTCCTGCTAATGAACTTTTAGATTTTTTAAAGTGATCTGTGATCATCCTGATAAAAATAAATCCCACAAAAGAAATCCGATTAATTTGACCCACTGACTTTCATTTGACAGTTGACAAAATGTGAAATATTCATCTCAAGCTTAAGGACCTTGTGCAGTCTGAAGGTAAATACATTCATGATTCATCATACTCCTTTCTCTGGTTGGACAAAAGCACTCTTTTGTCTTCACACAAATTCCTGCAGAGCCAAACACAAAGGCACTACTCAGTACAAATGTTATTAAGTGACCAAAGTATGGATGCTAGAAACATCTCCACTAAGAACCAAAAGCATCCAGTGCTGCTTTTCTACAGCAGTAATGCTGAAGGCTGTAAAGTGACAACTGCAGTTTACTGGTCTCATCACAACCACACAACTGTAAGCACAGATGTCTACTTTGTATCTGGTTGCAAGCAACAATAGTGGCAGCAGCGGGTACATAGGCAAATCTATGACTGCTCATAGTACAGTGCCACTTACAGGTTGGGTGACCAAGCTGCAGCTAAATTGTTTGAAACGACCTAGCCACTTCCAAGTTTTAAGGGCTTTAAATGGCCTTTTCACTGCAGAAGTGCAGCATGTATGGCCTTTTTAAAATACGTTCAGACTCCGAAGGCTAAATATTAAGTATCAAGTTAAGGTTTTTGCAGTTTTTGCCAGACAACCATGTGTCTGAAATGAATGCGGGTGCTGCCCTAACGTGTCCAAGACTGCTGAAGCCCAGGCTTGAAAATTTGCATGAGGCCTATGTGCAAAAGCGCTGCTCAAATGAAGACATCTATATAAACACCAAAATTATGCCAAATTATGCATTATGTCTACTACTGTAATTTCAGAAAAGAGCAGCCATAGTGCATAAAACCCAAGAATGTTGTGTTTTGTACTGTGATGGACAGGTTCTGAAATGTCCTCACATGGACACAACTGAACCAGTGACTTTGCTCACAATGTAGTTTTTGAAAATGGTTATGCAGAAAATAATTTACTCCTCATTCTTATTTTGCAGCCTTGTTACAATGCACATCATTGTGCTCCTGTAGCTTCTCTAAGCATGTATATGCCCTGATACAAAGCTGAAGATGGATGCATAAATGGACTGAGGGTTTAATGAATAACCTATTTAGCTCCACATATGAGTGGAGATTAATTTTTTTTTCCAAGTAGCATTACTGTCTATGGTGGGCTAGAAAAAAAAAAACTTCTCCAGACCTATAAACACCCAGTTATGGATGATGATATAATGTGGTTTTCTATGCATCTAACCTGCATGTCCTCAAACTGGTGTGGACCCTGGATTTCAACAACTCAAGTGGATGGGAGCCCAGCAAGCAGCAGCAACAGCTGCTTTGTTGGCTTTTCTGTTAATGTGGTTTGCTGTCAATTTTGTGAGGGTGAAGTTACATGCTGGCAATGCACAGCCTGACTATATAATGCTATACAGTCCATTAATTATAAGTTAATTCCATTAGAAGAAAGACCAGAGCTCTGCCTGCTCCTTCCATATTCATATCTTATCAATGGCTCTTTTGCACTGGACAATCAGGTTGGGGGTGGGGGGAGCAGCACCTAGCATGTCCAGCCCTCAAATTTCAAAAAAATAGCTGAGAGGTCACTTGTTCACTAAAATGCATGTTGGACTAGATGTTTGCTAGGTAAGATTTCTATTTAATGTACAAAACATTGTTGAAAAAGAAAGGCTGGGGGACTCTTAACACGGGTTTCTTTTAAGCCATTCCTTTATACAACATGAGTTATAGGTTTTCATTTGCCACGTGAAAAGGGGAAATTTTATACCCAAGCCTTAAAAAAGAAGGTGGACCGTGTTCACACCGCATTCTTAACCCCTGCTCAGAAATAACTGTTGTTGCTGATGGAGGGAAAATGGTCAGCCTTGGTAAATTCAGAGATTTCTCAAGCAAATCCGTAAAGCTGTAGCTAGCTGCAGTAACTCTCATAAATAAAGCTAACTCTGCTGCGTGTAAAAAATGACATGGCAAACAGTGATTGGAAATCAAGCTATCGCGCACTCAAACAATATCAGAGCAAAAGAAAGAGTTTTTTTTGTCTGACGTTACTTACAGTGGTAGCGGTACATCTTGTTCAGCTAACCTTCAAGTTACAGTAAGCTAATTTTGTTCCTGTAAACACTATGTCAGAACAGTGACAACCGACATATGCCCTGACCCTGGGTAACATCACCGTGCCAAGCAGCGACAACCACATCAATACGCTCTGGTTTTGACATGTGCAGATTATGTTGCAGGCCTTAAATAAACTTACAAACTCGAAATATCAAACAAAGCAAACGTAACTCACCCGATATGCTGGTAACAAGGTGTTAATTTTTTTTAAAGCAGTTTTCCGGCTGAGTCACTCCACCCTCAAACGCCCATTCTGACTAGACGATGAGCTGAGAGTGGACATCTGATTGGACAATGCGTCATCGGTCCTGCAGCTGATTGGTTCGACCGTGACATCTGGTTTGAAGTAGACCAATCACGTCTTGATGCGTTGATCATTCAAAATATCAGACAGCTTTCCGTCTTGTCGCTGTCATTCCAATAAATGGTAAATGGACTGTATTTATATAGCGCTTTTATGCACTGGCCAAAGCGCTTTACAGGGAGATTATACACCATTCACACACCGATGACGACAAGGCTGCCACACAACGGCGCTAGTCAAGCCACCGGGAGCAATTTGGGGTTCAGTGTCTTGCTCAGGGACACTTAGGCATGTGGGGAAACCGGGAGTCGAACCACCAACTTGCTGGTCAGAAGACGACTTGCCCTACCTCGTGAGCCACAGCCACCCCAATAAACGCAAAATATTTTCATAAAACTGTGGTGGTAGAAAAATTCAGATTCAAATACATAATATCACCTCCACTCTGTAAAAATACTCTATTATAAGTTAAAATTCCCCTTTTCAAACTATTCTATTAAAGTATTACTTTGGCACACCTGTGTAAGGCGTACTTACATCCATAAATGCCACTTAAAACTGTACTGGGCCAAAAGGAAGCCCCATGTCAACACTGTCCAGAAGCCATGATTTACACATCACTATTTTCAGATTTAATTGTGATTTTACATACTGTCCCAACTTTTTCTGATTTGGGGTTGTATTAACTCTGCAAGATCAGATTAACTATAAGTATTGTTAAGAATTTCAAGGGCATTGCTGAAATAACAACTTTAAATATTTATTGTGAAGGGATAAATGCTATTATTCAAGAATCCATATATTATTATGCAATGAGCAACACAGTTTTGTAGAGAGGAAAATAGAGTGCATAAGCAGGACAGCATATTTGCCTTCCAGCAGTATAATGCCAAGTTTGAACAAAACTGCTCAGTCTCATCACAACTGCATTCCTCCTCTTTTAACACCAGGGTGCAGTCATGCACTTACAGACAAAACATCTAAATGAGACTTGGTATAAAATTAATCACTGTCACAGCTGCTTGCTAACTATGCAGATAGAGACAACAGATATCAGATAGACAGATGTCACAGACCAGATTATGAATATATTTTAAGTTTCCATATAGACAATTTTCTGTAATTTTGCTAAGACCTGACAATTGACACTGTGGGTCTGCATCTTTAAATAGTGAAAGGATAAGCTTGTATTGACATTTTAAAAAGTACAGATAACAGTAATAAAAGCTATTATCAGTTAATTAATATGCTCATAATATTGCCTGAGCTGCAGAGCAAAATTCTCCTTCCTAATATCCACATGAGTATGAGATTCAGTGCTGGATGGTTGCTTTTATGTTACCTCAGAGGGTGGGTCTATGTGATGAATTATAGACAATAGGGTGAGGGCAGCCAACAGTGCATTTATGACAGATAATAAATGTGCACTGCCAAACCAAGCCAATTGAAGTGTGCCATTCTGGAATGGAAAAAGAAAGAGAAAAGCAGTTCATAGGCAAAAATCATGATATTGTGTCAACACTTTATTATGCACCACCACCATGCAAAATCACTGCTATGAACTTGCTCAAAAATCAAACTAGATATATTTCACACATTTATGATTCTAGATTGGCTAGCCACTTTTCCCAAAGTGACTGAGTAAAGTTTCAACTACACTCAGGAAATAGATCAAGAGTGTGTAAGTTAGTATGCAAGTCACACCGATTTGTGTGAGAGCATTGATTCAAACAAATGAAATGATGGCAAATGATCTATGATTGAACCTTAATTCATAAACCATTGATCGTAAACATTTTGTTCAAGGCCCTTACCAGTGTAAACCTTAGAGTAAATTTAAGCAATTTTGTTACTGTGTTTAAAGACACTTCAGTCCATCTATATCTTATATTTAATTGATCATTTAGATCCAGAGTGTGCACATATTTCAGACCAAATATTTCTGTAGACAAAATCACTGCCTCGTATCTGATTAAATGAGTTTAACCTCATTTGTCCAGTGAAGACAACTGCTGAGCAGGTGCTGTTAGCTACATGCTGCATTTACAGTTTGAATGAACTCCTTTGAGAGGTCATGCAATCAGCTAAGGCAGAGTGCGTTATTATTCTGTATCAAACAAACAAACAAACTTATGGATTCAATAGCAGTCAGCCTGCTCCAAAAGCAAGTAAAAAAAAAAAAGCCACTCAACAGCAACAGTACGAATAGTGGTAAAATCTGTTAATAATAACCAGGCCAGAGTTATACATTTCCAAAATATTGCAAATGTTATCATTTATAGCTTCATCTCATGTTTTTACCATAAATCAGATGACAAACAAACATTTAAAACCAGTTCACCCAATTCAAAACATGAGAATTTAAAGGAATCAGGTTTGCCGGCCTGTACTAACAGTTCTGTCGTACAGGTGCTAGACAATTCATATAAAAAGAAATAATTCCTCAAATTATGTGGTTTTTATGGCACCTGTGGTACAACAGACAGCTCAGTAATGAATCTCTTCACGTCAGCTCACAGTATTAACCTTCAATATGCAGTTGGTTAAAAAATATATCTTTACATAAACATATTCTGCAGTTGAATTTATCTTCTTTTATCGTCAGTGCTTTGTACTATCAGCCCAGCGATGTCTTGTTCAGTGTCTTCAACTATTGTTGCTTTTCATATTGCTCACCTGTTAAGGATACAAAACATATTATATTTGTATTCAGATTAAGCGTTTACACATCTAAACATCATATTGTTGTTTCAGAAACCAGAATAAGCCTTTATACTGATTCTGAGAATTCCAACTATGATATCTTGAGTGCTTCATTTGGGGTTTCGATGCCATAGTAGTCTACTATAGCATCTAAATACTTCATCCAGGTTTCTGCTCACTATCATGTGCACAAGTGCTTCCTCAGTTCAAGTTATAGTAATTTGTCAGTAAAAAAAAAATGATGATAATGAATGTATGGATGTCTTACACACTGAAATGAAAGCAAAAGTCTGTTATTGGTAAGACAGACGATACATTTTATTGTTGCTCATTACTGCTGATCACATGAGAAAGAGTAATCAAGTTGCAAATCAGCTAAACTGGTTGCAACCCAAAACACAAGTTCCATCTAAACATCACATCTAAAATATGATCAAAATAAGAATGCCAATGTGCAGGTTAACACATCTAAAGAGTAAAAGGCAAAAATCCAAAAGCTTGTAAATGAAAGCATGGGTTACTGTTTGTGACAGGTGGTTTCATGCATATACTTGTATGCACAGTAGCCAAGTGGTGCCATTACATTCCTGGAGATTTTTTAAATAATTTTTATCATTTTGAAGAAATGTTCATCAAAAGAAAATTCATTAGCAAATATTCTGATGACTAAATAATCAAATACGACTGAGTTTCAGATACTTACCAGTACTAACACAGTCACTGCTGCAGAGTCACCTGTACCACAACAACACCATAACACAAACAGAACATTAGAATTAGAATTGAGAAGAAGACGTTTAATTATTCAAAGAAGTCAAGATGCAGTGTTCTTCTTCAACTTCATTCCAGTGCTGGAAAACTACAACTCACCATGCATGTTTTGTCTGGTTCCTGCCTATGCTTCATTAACTCCTCCAACTTGAGCTCGTCCTCCAGCTGCTGCTCCAGATCGTTCTCAAAGCTCTCCTGCTCTGCGGCACTGGCACTCCTATGACAAATAACAGAGAGTTTAAAACAAGCCAAAAGATAGATGATGTACCTAGTAACTGCAGGTATAAAACTGTATCTTAATAGGGATCAACTTTTTTTTATTTTCAAGAAAGACAAATTAATTTAACATTGAAAACAAAGTCCAGAAAATCTCATATAACAACCACTACATTTGATTCAAGTCAGCAGTATATAGAAATGTAAGAGATAAAGCAGGTGTATCTGGTACACACACATACAGTATATATGGAAGAAAGCAAGACTACTGGCCACAGAGCAAATAAACTGCCAGGAGGAAGCACCAAGTGCCAAACCAGTTTCTCAGGTTATGCAGGAACAATGGAAGAGCTGCGAACGTGTAGATGAAGGCACTAATTAGAAAGGAGGGTCTGAGTTTGCTAAAATAATTTTTAATGATTTAGCCTCTGAAGGTGATGTAGGTCAAATTCAATCAACTGTAGGTGCTAAGTAAAACCTTTATCTATACTCACAAAACCTTTTCTTCTTATACCCACAGAAGTGCTCATCAAAACAGCAGAAACGCTAGCTATCTGTTTTCTTTTCTGCTGACCTTTGATGACCTATAGTACCTTGGTTTATAGGTGAAGGAGGGATCTGAAGAGGTTGTGACCAATGGGTCTCCACGTCCAAAGTCTGAATCCACAGTGCTCTCAGTCTCACTTCCGCCCTCTGTGGAAAAAGATATTAAATCAGCTGTTGTATAAAAATTCAGGAAGGCAAACATCAGCTTTTTTAAGTTCATTTTTACCTGAATTGAGTTCTTTAACTAGTGATGACATTGTGTTGGTGATGGAGTCAGCAGCAATAAGTAGGTCATTTCTTAAATTTCTCCTTGGACCTTTAAAACAAAATAAAATCAAATAATTTTTACATGCGATTACGTACAGCTTCCAACATTCTGACACTGTTTCCCTAACCAAATGCATGCTTATGTGTTGAACTGCGTCACCCTGAGCGAAGGCCTCCTGAACATCCCCTCCCACGCCCATGAGTGAGTCCTGAGGTGTGTGAGTCGGGGTCGTGCTGGTAGAGTCCGAGTGGATTGGTGTGGGGATCGGCCGGCTGATGGTGTGGCTGGGAGAAGAGCGTGGAGAACTGGGACCCTGAGTCTGAAACACATGCAGACAGTTTCAGTGTTTACTTAAGCCGCTTTGTTGTCTGGAGAGAAAACCATGCTGTAAGAAGAGTACAGTAATAATATAATATAAGAGAACAGTATAAATCTAATCTCAATTAAAAGGTTTCTCATTAAAGCAAACACCGTCAGCCATGCAACAAATAACTCTTTTTCATTCTCAGAGCTTAAATCACAGCAAAGAAAGTTAACTTAAACCCCTTAAAACAGCAACAATAATTCAGTTTAATAGTTTTTAAAGTCTATTAAATGACTAACTTGTCTTAAAAGTGCACCAAAGAAATATTACATGCATGCTAGAAATGTACAGTATGTCCAGTCATAAAGCTGTTTGTCTATTATGTGAGTATTTTTATGTCACATTCAACAGGCTGTTAAAACAGTTTTTTTTCCCCAAAAGCTATTCCAATACTCCACAGACCAAACCACAAGCTATCACTGTCTGGTAAAGGCAATGTATCTTCAAAGTTTCAGATAAACTGAAGAACTATAGTATATTCCCCTCTTTAATCTTAAAAGGAAAGCAAAGCATTTGTCAGTACCAGGTTTACCTGACAACAGTGTTTATTTCAGAAATGCAGCCAAGCTTTTTTTGCCTCACAGCTTTAACACTTATAACTTGTTTCTGTTCCTCCTCCAGCTGAAAAACAATATTTTATAGCTCATGAAACAACAACCACTTTTCACCAAGTACTTCTAAAACATATACCAAAGGTGGCTTCCTCATACAAGTTTACTGGATTAATATTGATCCTTTTAGGTTAATTACATTGATATTCTCCCCACTCAAGCCAATGTAGTAAGCAGTTTATGTAGGCTTGTCTTGCTGACTGGAGAAAATATTCTCACAGCAAAGGTCAACCTTCTTAGGAGGGGCAGGCATTTAAGGTGTGATGGAGCCTAATGCTAAACTCAAAATCCTGTTCTTAAATGATCTGTCTGGACTCTTGTCTGGCAGCATAACAGAGCTAATCAATGCTATATTTTACTTACAATAACACACATACAAAAGACTAAAAATAATGAACATGTTATGAACAGGACTAACACTGCACATAATGATTTTCTTCTGATGCTGCAAAGGACAGGATTAAAGCACTAACAACAGCCAACACTGACAAGTGAGTAACACACAAAATTCTATTTTTTTCATCTATATGTTAAAGTTTTTAATTAAACATGTATATAATACCTCATTTGTAAGTTAAAAATGTACAGATCGGGCCTTTAACAGAGCTTGACTGTTGAAGATGTGCGCCCTCTGATGGACATTCTAAGTAACTTCTCATATATTTCCTCATTTGCAAAGTGCAGTGTTTGCTGAGCTGGAGTGATCCCACATGGGATGCTTGCTTACTACCTGTATCAGAATAAGGGGAAAAAAGCTACAAAAGCTGCAGAACTCATGGTCATGTATGCAAACTGCAACACAACTGATCCTGCCCAAGAAGCAAACTCTAAATAATTGATAGGAAACAGAATGTGTGTTCCTTCAGTAATCATGAAGGTGTCTTATTAATCTGTGTGACACTACTGTGCAGTCAAAAAGTCTGGTACCTTGAGAAGCATCATTAGTTGCTCCAGCTGCACCATGAGCTCCCTGCGACTCTCCTGCAGAGTAGACATTCTTTGTTCAAGCTCATCTTTGCGTTGCCTACCAGAAGAAACAAGTTGTACAGGATGATGATACCATAATGTCATGTCAATGGGAAAAAAAAACGTGTTATGAGCATCTGTGAACTCTAGCGTATGTAAAAAAATATGGAAAAGGCAAGAAGATGCAATATGGAGGTTTGCAGTCTAAGCAAAACTGTAACACAGATGGATCAAGGTAGCACAAATACCTGAGAAGACGTAGCTCAGCAAGCAGAGTGGGGTTCTGTTGAACCTTGTCAGGGGGCGGCTGGGAGGCCTCCTCATGTTGAAGGCGCAGCCGCTGGATTTCCTGCAGGATTTCTCTGCGACAGGCACAAACATATGCCAGTACAAACCCAAATTATTATTTATGGTATGCTTTGTCCATTGGAATCTTCATGAACACTTAAATCATCTGACTGTTTCTAGGGAAGCACAAGAAAGCTGTATTTTGCTTTTGTGTTACACATACTTCCCTCTTAGTTGACAACTGGCATTTAAGTCTAACTTCGACCTGCAATAACTAGCCTTGACCCCTTGACCCCTTGAGGGCAGCAGAAACAAGCTGCATGCACAAGTTGATACAGTAACTTGGTAGCAAACAGTTGTCTATTTTCACATCTGGTAGGTTGTAACCAACACTAACATATATTTAAAGCAGGAGCTTTCAACCAGTGGTCCACAGCACCCTGGTGGTCTATGAAGGCATTGCAGGTGATCCCTGACCTTGCATTCAATAATATAGTTTGCCTATAGGAATCACAGTTTATTTCATTTTAATAAACACATTTTCATGTATTAATTATAATAGTTGTCATAGTGAGTAATTAAAGTCATACAAATATATAAAATTTTGAAAAACCAAGGTGACTTTCAAGATTAAAATCGTACCCATCCTGTCTATCCACCACACAACAGTGGTCCTCAGGTTGCTTGTTAGTCATGATGTTGGTCCCTGGGTCACAGTCAATTGAAAATCCCTGATTTAGTCTCTTTTGTTTGGCTACCCGATGTGTGTAATCCTATATCAACTCTCTTGTAAGCTCTCTTTTGCTCTTCCTGAACTCTTGAAGTAAATGTTTGGCTCTTTAATAGCTAAGCACTCTACTAGGTTCATCAGCCAGTTGCTAACTTTGTCACTCTGATTTTAGAGGGGGATTTTTTGCAGACAACTGCTGCTGATGTGTCTGGAAACTACACATAGTAGTACTATAGTGGTAAGACTGAACCAAAACATTACAGTCGTGAAATGGAAAACTATAGGACAGACAGAGGCCTTTTACACATTAGATATTTTGCCTTGTCATAGTAGGAAAAGTACAGGTGTTACAAATAACATTAACAATAGCTCAGCTGTATTAAAGGGCTCCAGTAGATCGTGACAGTGTGACAGTGAACCAGCATGAACATGACCAGGAGCCTGAAACTGAAGTGGTTTAAATGGAATTCAGCCATCATTAATTTTATTATTTACACTGCTGCTTTTCCTACTGTGATATGTCTTCTGGGAAGCAGGCTTATAAAGCTCTGTAGAACTGAGGAAAAAGGAGAATAGGGTGGTAATTCTCTGTCACATACATCAGTCTTGCTTTAAAACCTCTAATCACAACTATTAGAGAAAAAATTGGTCGGACCACTCCCACAGCTCTCGCAGATGTGCCATCTACTACAATGGCTTTAGAAACATCTGTAAGACCTCATTTATACTTGGACTACTTCTCCCCTATAGATCTCTCTGAGTTGACCTCAACAATTGCTTCATCTAAATCATCAACATGTCTCCTGGACCCCATCCCGACCAGGCTGCTCAAAGACGTCTTTCCCCTAATCAACACATCCATACTAGATCTGATTAACCTCTCTCTATTAACAGGTTATGTTCCACAGGCTTTTAAACTTGCAGTAATTAAACCGCTACTCAAAAAGCCTACCTTTGACCCAGGTGTCCTAGCTAATTATAGACCAATATCCAATCGCCCATTTATTTCCAAAATCCTTGAAAAAGCTATTGCAAAGCAGTTATGTGACCACTTGCACAAGAATGATTTGTTTGAGGACTTTCAGTCAGGATTTAGAGTCCATCAAGCTCCTCTCCTACGGAACCAACTCCCAGTCTCAGTTCAGGAGGCGGACACCCTCTCTACCTTTAAGATTAGATTTTAGACTTTCCTTTTTGATAAACCTTATAATTAGGGCTGGATCAGGTGACCCTGAGCCTTCCCTTAGTTATGCTGCTATAGGCCTAGGCTGCTGGGGGGGCCCATGATG